TGAGTGGATTCTTAATTCAGGTTGCTCGTTTCATGCTTATCCAAACAGGGACTAGTCTACCTCTTATCGATGATGGAGGGGAAGTTCTGATGGGGAATGATGTGGCGTGCAAGGTTGTAGGTATCGGTACAGTTAGAATCAAGATGTATGATGGCATAGTGAGGACACAGACTGATGTCAGGCATGTACCAAAACTAACAAAGAATTTGATTTCCCTGGGTACGCTGGATTCCATCAGATGCACTTATAAGGCTGGAGGTGGAGTCATTCGGGTATCAAGGGTGCTCTTGTGGCGATGAAGGGACTGAAGAAGTATGGTTTATATGCTCTGCAGGGTAGCACAATCATGGGTTCAGTTGCTATATCGTCTTCAGATCCAGATTCAGATACTACCAGATTGTGGCATATGCGGCTTGGGCATATGAGTGAGAGGGGGATGGATGTTCTGAGTAAGTAGGGTTTGCTTGGTGGTCAAAAAACAGGGAAGTTGGATTTCTGTCAGCATTGCGTCTTTGGAAGCAGTGCAGAGTGAAGTTCAGTTCAGGAATTCACAGGACCAAGGGTACGGTGGATTATATTCATTCTGATCTTTGGGGTCCCTCTCAGGTTACTTCACATGGTGGTGGTAGATATATAATGACGCTGATTGATGACTTTTCTCGGAAAATTTGGGTTTATATTCTGAAGCACAAGAATGAGGCTTTTGTTACATTCAAGCAGTGGAAGACCTTGATTGAGAAGCAGAAAGAAAAATTGGTTAACCGCTTGAGGACAGACAATGGCTTGGAATTTTGTGATGGAGAATTTAATGAGTTTTGCAAGACTCACGGGATTGTGACTTTTGTCGAAAAGTTTGGGTTTATATTCTGAACCACAAGAATAAGGCTTTTGTTACATTCAAGCAGTGGAAGACCTTGATTGAGAAGCAGACAGGAAAACTAGTCAAGCGCTTGAGGACAAACAATGGCTTGGAATTTTGTGACGGAGAATTTAATGAGTTCTGCAAGACTCACGGGATTGTGAGACACCACACAGTGAGGAAGACTCCGCAGCAGAATGGAGTTGCAGAACGAATGAACAGAACGCTATTAGAGAGGGCATGGTATATGTTGTCCAACGCAGGGCTATACAAAGCGTTTTGGGCTGAAGCTGTTTCTACAGCTAGTTACTTGGTGAACCGGTCTCCGTCGACTGCTATCGACTGTAAGACTCCAGAGGAGGTATGGTCTGGTTCTACTGCTAGTTACAGTAATTTGAGAATATTTGGGTGTCCAACGTATGCTCATGTGAATGAGGGGAGGCTTGAACTGAGGGCTAAGAAATGCATATTTCTTGGTTATTAGCTTGGGGTCAAGGGATACAAATTATGGTGCCCAGAGGCTTCGGGAAAGAAGATACTTGTTAGCAGGGATGTGACCTTTCATGAGTCTGCGATGCTTACTCCGCAGAAGGAGGTAGTTAATTCAGGGAAAGCTCAGGGTTAGGGGTGGCAATTCGTGTTGGCGTGTCGTGTTCATGTCGACACGATTACGACACAAACACGATTAGGGTTAACACACACACGACACGATTATTAGTCGTGTCTAAGACCCCTTGACACGAACGCTACACGATTATTACACATGTAACACGACACAACACGCGTAACCTGTTTAATAAATGGATCAAGACTTGATATGACACAAAAAAACACGTTTAAGTCATTTTTTACACAAACACGACACTTTTATTCTACATGTTTAGCTAAATGGGTTATTTTTTACACGAACACGATACGTTTATCTGACACTTTAGTTAATCAGGTTATTCGTGTCATAATCGTGTTTATAGGGTCAAACACGACACGTTTAGTTAGTGGGTCAGTCCGTGTCAACACGATTAACCCAAACCCTCTCATCTCGTATCGTGTTCATGTCGTGTTAGCATGTCGTGTCAAATATTGCCACCCCTACTCAGGGTGGTCAGTGAACAGGTGGAGCATATAGAGGTTCAATTAGAGAATAGTCCTGTTCGGTCGACTCACAAGCAGGTGCAGTTTCGGGCTGAGGGAGATGCATAATTGCAGCAGTATAGTGTGGCTAGAGACAGGCCTAGGAGGGATATTAAGCCACCTGAGAAGTATGGGTTTTCACATGTTGATTCGGTTGCTTATGCACTTAGTGTGGCAGAGGATATTGATGAGCCATGTTCTTATCATGAGGCCATCACAGGTGGAGAGTCAGCACAATGTTTTGCTGCCATGAGTGAGTAGATTGAGTCTCTTTATAAGAACCAGACTTGGGAGCTAGTTAAGAAGCCTAAGGGCTAGAAGATTGTGGGATGTAAATGGGTCTTTAAGAAGAAAGAAGGAATTCTAGGGGTGGAAGATGCGAGAGACAAGGCATGCTTGGTGGCGAAGGGTTATACACAGAGGGAAGGGGCGAACTTCAATGAAGTGTTTTCTCCTGTGGTGAAACATAGCTCAATTTGGGTGCTACTTGATATGGTTGCTCTGTATGACTTGGAGCTTGAGCAGCTTGATGTCAAGACTGTTTTCTTACATGGTGAGGTGGAAGAGCATATTTATATGCATCAGCCTGAGGGGTTTCTAGGAAAGGAAGATCATGTTTGTCTACTGAAGAAGTCCTTGTATGGGCTGAAGCAATCTCCTAGACAGTGGTACAAGCGATTTGACACCTTTATGGTTGGGAATGGCTACTGTAGGAGTAAGTTTGACAGTTGTGTGTATCACGGGAAGCTCTTAGATGGTTCGTATTTGTACTTGTTGTATGTTGATGACATATTGATAGCTTGCAAGAACATGTCTTAAATCAACATGTTGAAGGCTCAGCTTAGTGGTGAATTTGAGATGAAGGATCTTGGTGCTGCAAAGAGGATATTGAGAATGGAAATTCATAGGGACAGAGGGGCGGGCAGATTATATTTGTCCCAGAAGAAATACATTGAGAAGGTGCTGGAACACTTCGGTATGCAGGCATCAAAACCTGTGAGTACTCCATTGGCTGCCCACTTTAGAATCTTAGCGCGATTGTCACCACAGACCGAGGAGGAGGTGGAGCACATCTCTCGTATTCCTTATGCTAGTGTAGTTGGTAGCCTTATGTATGCTATGGTGTGCACTAGGCCAGACATTTCACCTACAATTAGTGTAGTAAGCAGATACATGGATAGACTTGGGAAGGTCCATTGGCAGGCTGTGAAGTGGATATTACGATACTTGCGAGGCACTCCAGATGTTGGGTTAGTCTATGACAGAGGCAACGACACGTGTGGGAGTGTTGTTGGATATGTTAATTCGGATTATGCTAGAGATATTGATAGGAGAAGGTCCTTGACAGGGTATGTCTTCACTCTTTGTGGGAGTGCGATTAGTTGGGAGGCGACTTTGCAGCCCGTAGTTGCATTGTCTACTACTGAGGCTGAGTACATGGCAGCTACGGAGACAGTGAAGGAAGCTATATGGTTGAGAGGCTCAGTTGGTGATTTGGGCTTGCAGCAGGATGATTTGACTGTGTTTTGCGATAGCCAGAGTGCCATACATTTGATTAAAAATCAGATGTTCCATGAGAGAACCAAGCACATTGATGTCAGGTTTCACTTCATCAGAGATGTGATTGCACAGGGTGCTATTGCAGTGAGGAAAATTGGGACAGCAGAGAATCCGGCAGATATGATGACTAAGGTCATTCCTACACTCAAGTTCAGACACTATCTAGACTTGATTGGTACTTACAGTTGTTGAGGCCCTTAGGGGCATATGGAAGCGACAAAAGGAGTAGTTAGTGATTGTGGAGCTTGGCGTAATTCGAGCCAAGGTGGAGATTTGTGATATTGTGGCCCGAATTTGGTGCCGAGTCGCTTTGTGACCCGCTTATGACCTGACGACCTGTTGGATGAGCTTTGTGTGGAAAAATTTTGACCCGGTTTTTGCTCATGGATCGTGGACCCTAATTATTCTCTTGTAACCCGACATATAAGGACACTTAGGGTTTGGAGTGAATGATGTGAGAGACTCTAAAATTTGTACAGAAACTGAGTGAGGGGCTGAAAACTAGTAATCTTTGATTTTACGCATAGTGAAAACTTTCGTCGGATCCCAACCGTGGACGTAGGCTGTTGCCGAACCACGTAAAAATCTTTGTATTCTTTATGTGGCGTGTTTACTTTTTTGTCGTAATTCTTGATTCAACTTGGGTTCGTTGCATTTATCATAACAAAAAGCATGCTTCCCGTTTGACAAACATGGATCCTAGAAAGAATATTGAAAAACCTAAATCTCTATTGTGCTTATACAAACTCTTTAGGAATATAGCTTCGGAAATATATATATATATATAAGGAAAAAAAACTATTTTTCGACAATCAGAAGCCCAATCTAATGACATCAAATTTGTTCTCTTCCTGATTTTGTATCACATTATGATTAATGAAGACCACGACTATACAGTATAAGTGTTAGCATATATGATAGCCACGATTTATGGAATAATTTACCATATTAGCATATATGATAGCCACGATTTATGGAATAATTTACCATATTAGCATATATGATAGCCACGATTTATGGAATGACTTACCACATTAGCAGAGATTCGATTATGCTATAGAATAATCAAATCTCTGCTAATGTGGTAAGTCATTCCATAAATCGTGGCTATCATATATGCTAACAATAAGAAATTCGATTTGATCAGACCAGAACTTTTGGTAAACAGCAAAAAACTTCCTTGTCATGATTCTTCAGTTACTATGTAAATTAAGATCAGGAATGCTTCAAGTCAACCTAATGATCAAAAATTCTCTTCAAGTTCAATAGAGTCAAAAAGGGTAACTGAAAAAATGCCATAATAATTCTCATTGATATCATAAACACGAGAGAATGGGCAGGAAAATTGGCGTTACGTGTACAGTATATATTCAAGTGAAATTTACAGAAGGCATAAAGAATTTTGGCTGCAAATGAATATATATAAATAGTGCATATTGACAAAGCTTACAGAAGCAGCACGTTCAGTTTTCAGTCGCTTTTCCACAAAGTTAGCAAGTTTCTTTGCATAAACCTCTCCAGTATCACTGTTCAAAGAAGTATCATATCAGAAGTATTGTAGTTTAACGACTAGAGTTCATACTGAATAGAAGGCCTTAACAGATGAAATGATCAAAGTAACATGTCCCACCAAAATACAACCAAAGCACTGTCAAGATAATGAACACGCAAGAAATTCTCTGAGCAAATATAAACCAGAAGAGAGAGTTTTAGCGAGTATTATTAAATAAAATTTGTGTTTATGGGTCGTCGTTCAGGGCAGAATAAAAGACTAATTTTGTACTTATTTTTAATAGAGAAACTCTAACGTTTTCACCTTTCACTTTGTCCTAAATTTGGTTCATTTCATTTGAGGCAAAATCAGCTTCCTCTTTCTCTGATTTTCTGTTACAAAAGGTGGAAGTAACACCAAGTAAAGGATAAATGAGAGAAACCCGACTAAAAGATAGTTTGACCTGTTCAGGAAATACCATGAACTGCATCCATAAAGTAGACTTCAAATTGTGATTGATGTCATAATAAAGGGAAGAACCATATCGTATAAAAAGGTGATGGTGTGTTTATTAATTGAATTTTTGACCTTAGATATAGAAGAGTGTAACATGATTTATGTAACACAAACCAAATAGTTGGGATAAGGCTTTCTTCAGTTCAGTTAAATTGAGTGGCATAAACTCCCATTGTTTACCTTCTCGTTGATCACCACCATGAAGCTACCTAGTCTTCATGGTCAATCATAATATAACCAAATATTTTTTTTGCATCCTTCAACCGTCTATATTTTAACAAATTAACATGCATTCCTGAAAAGTTCTATTTTCAGGGTCTTAAGTAAGACGGTCAATTTAACTTCCAATTTCCCCCAACATTGGGAGATCATAACTAAAGCTTCAGAAAAGTACATAAAGTAGATAGTGTATATGTGTGTGTGTGTGTGTGTGTTTGTTGCAATATATCAAACCCAAAAAAAAAAAAAATTTAATTAAAGAGTGAATTTGTGGGAAGAATTGTTGACATTCTATCACCAATTGTGAATATAAAGTGCAATTATTGGTAAATAATCAATGCCTCAACAGAGAGTTTAGAGGAAAAAACGTGAATTATAAACAACCTTAGAACAATATTAGCATGCACAGGTGTCAGACTACTCAATTTCTAGTCCAAGAAAGAGAATACAAATTTTAAAGCAAATGTTACATTTCAGAGGAGAAAACTGTGGGTAAAAAATCAGGCAATTTCATGATTTCTGAAAGATAACCAAACCTCAAGACAGGATCACCCCCTATTCTGCCTCTAACGTTATCTCGACTCTCTCCATGCCTCGTCAGTAAAATTGGACGGGGTGTGAGATGTGTATTCACCTGCAAGCCACTTATTGGCATTCATGTTCTGCATTGAAGTTTAAGAAAATATACAAGAACAAATGCTTAAAGCAGATAAATTATCACATCAGCGACAATAATTATTCATTTTAGTAACAGAAGCACAAAATTTTCTTCGTCACTTGTTATCTTGAATTATTTATTTATTCATTCATCATTCATTTTTTTTGGTTGGACAAGTAGAACAGCCAATTAGTGATGCAAAAGATGCTGTGAAATAAGAAGCCTTAAAATTTAGTTTAAGTCATCTCTTGAGATTCAAGCAAAGAGCAGATATATGCTAAAGCTTTTTAGCTGTATCATTCACAAAAGGCCTGTATTTTCATGATCATCCCAGCAATACTTTTCCACAAGTGTATTTAAGATACATTTCCGTGCCATATTCTTATTCAGATTCAGTTAATTACATATTATACAAATAAGAATAGAGCACACTTGACTAGACACATCATAAAACAAATTGGGACAACATACCAAGAAAAAGACAATTCGTCCTGGAAGATAGCCGCTGATATTGTTTACCTGAAAAAGAAGCAAATTTTCTTAACAAATAAAATTAGATCATACTCTGTAAACCAATTGGATGGCATCTAAATTAGAAAGTCTACCCATGTTACAAATATTTACCTTGAGGATTTACTAGAAGGAAAAAACGAATCTTAGAAAGTAAAATTTTCAATTGAATTTACAGTGTAAATAAGATACTCCACTAGACACTAGTTATAGAGTAAAAAAGTTTCAGTAAGTAATCTATTCATGTTATACCTACCCAAAAAAATATGTATCCAATAATCAAGAAAGACTACCAAGGTTTGTAGCCTAGTAGCTTCTCCTCTAACTCCCAAAGTGGGAGGTTTAGGGTCAAGTTACCGTAGGGACAAAATGAGTGTGTAATTTGGCGGGGGAAAAAAATCAACAGAGCTTCGGAACAAAATTTTCATGATAAACACATCCAGACTGTCTTTTTCGATCAGTATCTAGACTGCAAAGTTTCCCTAACCAATGAATGACTATATAGACTGCAACTGAACACATTTCTCTGGTTTCAATGGAGGTTTCTCATTAAGCATAATATAGCTTATTAAGAGGATACTGGGAGGAGTAAACTGAAGACAAACCTAGCATTTAGCAGTCTTTCAAACTAATTAGCTGCCCTAAGCTTAAACCCACATTCTCATGCTTGCCGGTCCAATTTATCATTTGACCAAGCAATGGCCACTAGTATATAGCTTATGCAATATAATAAATGTACTGAGCAATTGAAATAAGAATATCAATTCATTTTCTCTAACCAAATATAACTATATCACAAGGAAGAATATCACGAAAAGACCCCATGTCCATAAAACTTGAGAGAAATTAAAAACAAGGCCCCAGTAGGGTACCAAGATATGGAAAGTGCAAAAAAAAAGATATGGAAAGTGCAAAGTGATGATTGAGACACAAAAAAGCCAAAAGTTTCCTACAATTATTGATAATTTGAATTTCACATGACCATGAAGGGAAATAAAAAAAAAAATGCCCTTCAAGTGTCAAAGCTGCTTACTGGGTAATTAATTGCACTATACAAATGATTTGTGCTTCCACATTTATCAAAAATAAAGAGTAAAAAGATCCATGCTTACACATGGTGTTTTAAAAGAATCTGTGGAAGAAACAAAAAAAGGTTCAGTCAATGGTTGGTGTACATAAGACAATGTGGCTTTAAAGAGATCAAAGCCAATTCTATCTTACATAAACTATAAAAGAAAATTGATCCAGTTTCCGCAGTACCTGAGGGAGGAATGGTTTCAGCACACCTAATACACCAAGTTCCATTATCAATAATTGAACCCAAACCTAAGAAGTCACCCACCACAGGTTGGACTAGTAAAAATATTGTCAATTAAGTGGTCCTCAAATCACACACATTCTGCTCAAAGGTAATAAATGTTTCAAACATGAAACCTATGCAATTTTCTTGATATCAACTCCACATCATGATTAAATGCTTTCCATATGGAATCCTGCAACATTTCTTGCAAATACCAAAACATTGGAAACAACCATGGTGTCCAGCATAACCAGTTCCAGTTTTACAGGACACATGCTGAATTCATGGTACCTTTTTCAACCATACTGATACATCAAAGACAAACAATAATAACAATTTACATCATACATGCAACATGGGTCAACCCCACAAATGCATGATGCATATAAGATGATCAAATTCAAAAGAATAACCAAAAAAGAAAAGAAAAAACTTAAACTTACTTGTATTTGTCCACCTTGGCCGCTGACCATATCAATCATTTTGATATAAGATCCCTCTTCTACTGGCTCGTACACCTGGCAGCAAGAGTATTTATTTATTTTTTCATTTAATAATATACAGCATTCATTAACACTGAATCCTTGGTGAAAATTAATTATCTAATGTATGTTTCAGAAAACTACCTTTTCATAATAATCTAGTCGATTTTTGAAGTCTTGATATCCAGCTTCAAAATCTGGCCTGCAGACAAATGTAATTTACTAAATATATAAATGTCTGTTAAAATAAAAGTTCAACTATTTTAGTAAGCAGCCATACTCTTCTGCGTAATCAGGGCTTTGTTGAATTTTAAGACGTATATTTCTTTCAATAATCTGCTTATCATTGCATAGTGTTTCCAAAAAAATAATCTGTAGGAGAACACGGAAGAAATATTAGAAATTGATGAGGAGTTTATAACTAGATATACGACATTTCTGCTAAATCTCCAACACACTAATTTGGCCACAAATAAACAAGTTTCTTCGGCACAAAATAACTATAAAATATATATGATTCAGGTTTCCAATTCATATGTTAAATTTCATCAAGGAAGACTAAAAAAATGATGGATCTTCCCTCCTACGTAAATCCTGGTACTGCTGCTATACAAAAGCCTTGATTCACTTACATGCAAGAGTTTCATCCTCCCAAAATTCTAAGCATCCCTGCTAGTGCAAAAGCATCATACCTTGCATTTTCCTTCAGCCATTTTCATAAGCATGTTCCTCCTTTTCCTAGTACTGTTTGTGGCATCAAAAATTCCAACCTACAAATTAATGAAACAAATAATAGTAAAAGGATAGAATGGAAATCACATTATCTGATTTAAAAGAACTTACCTGACCACCTTCTTGCATCCAAGCTATCATGTCATCCATTGCTAGGGCAGCTACCTAGTAGCACGTGATGTATTAAAACTATTTGCAAAGAAAATGGTTAATACACTGTAATACCATTATCCAAGAAAACCAAATTCAATAGTTATAACATCATAAGCAGTAGATTTATCTTAGTGAGAAGAAATGCTTTTTTTTTTTAAATTCTTTAAGCGATAGAAATAGTTGAAAGTTGAGTAAATTAAAGCTGCACATCGACAACCTGGTTTCTTTGAATGAAACATTATTTCATGTATCAGACATGATGGCCAAAACCATATGGCAGTAATTATACATGTATAATAACTAACAACTCAATTTGAACAGATACCCTACCAATGCATGACCTCTTTCAACAGAATTAAAAAAATCTTCATATTCCAAGTAAAATGCCATCATCCAGTGTTGGTCCCACCTAAGTGGGTGCTGAGAGGGATGAATTGGATAAAAATCTAACCATTTTCCTGTCTTTAGACTAATTACAAAATTGCAATAGATAACAAGGAAAACTGAAGAATGCGTTTCTTTTTTCTTTTTCTTTTTTTCCCTCTGTACGAAATATTTTCTGGGTTATCATTTGGTGGAATTGGCAGTTAATTTTTCTGCATATGTATCATCTTTAGTATTTCAGTTGACTTTTAGTTCGATTTGTTAGTTCGCTTTCCAAAAATTCCTCCTTAGAAAATATTGTTTTAGTGATTCCATAGTGATGACGGTAACAAAAACTGGAGTAAACAAGACCAACAGGCCTAAAAGAATGGTACGAAAAATTACAGAATCAATACAATCATTAAAGAAACAGCATTATAACGAGTTCTTACAATAGGTGAAAAACACCTGATAAAGGGGGAAAATTCCATTAATATCAACTTCGTAAGCATTATATACAACACAAGAGATACCGTTACAATGAGTTTCTCCTGCTCTAGGTGGGGGGGAAAAAACTGATTTAGGAAAAATAAACTCCATTTATATCAACTTCATAAGCATTTTCATCAGGATGAATTTTTATATATTTTTCCCCATAAAATAACGTAATATGATTCCAATAAATTATCAACAAATACAGAAAGCATGTAGTCATTTTCAAAGTCCTACTTGAAGCTAAATTTGTGAACAACTGGTGCTGGCATTCATCGTACTAATAGTAATTTCAATCAATTTACTAACTTCAATTTTCCAATTTTATGGCTTAGTTTTATTTATTATATACTCCTCCATATTACTCGTTTAATATATCAGTGATTTTAGAGCATATATCTTTATCCGTGCAGTACTTTACATTCCACGTGTACATAGGTTATTAGGTCGTACAACCTATTTCGTCCTTATATATATGTATATGTATGTTTGTGTGTGTGTATATATAGTACTTATAAGAGCAAATAACTTCTAGATTTTACTTCCCCAGTGTCCAAAATCTGAAGTTCATTAGGGAGCTGAAATTTAGTTTTGCACAATACTTTGTAATAGAAACCACATGTGCAACAAAAATATTGTTTATTTCATCAGCATTAGTAATAACTACATCAAATCAAATCAGGGATTTTATAGGTTTTATGATTAAAACATCATCCTAAGAGTTAAAAGAACTACCAAAGTATTCTTTTTTAAACGGAATTTACATCTCTAACAAAGACTTTCTGAGAAATACCATAGATTTTTCTCAAAAAGTGCATTTCAGAAAAGTGATTATTCAATTTGAGTTATTGATTCGGGTATTTTTTAATCATCAGATCTCAATGTCGTATTCCTCGGATGTACATGGTTTGCACAACTGTTTGTGTTCCCACGTGACCACATGACATTCAGGAAACTGAAAGGTTATTCTTTGATTAAAGAGATGATTCACAAGAAAATGTGGCATTGAGAAAAAATGATTCCAATAAATAAAATAACAAATGAAACCTCAATGTAGCCTCGTTAAAATAACTATTCCATTTTGACAACTCAAGAAAAAAAATCCTTAGCTGAGATTCACCTCATTGCGTGCCTCTATGCCTTCTGGATTGTCACCTCTAAAAAAATCAGCAGTCTGCATCCAAAAAAAAAATGTACAATGTATGAAGAAGTTTTAGGAAAAGAAAAAATAAATGAAATCTCTTTCTGGCATTGAGAATCCAGCTTCTAAGAACGTGAAGCTGAATTTTGATGATAAGATAGTGAACCACTCAAGTATCAAGCAGAAATTTAGAATATAGACACGATGTGCAACCTGTGCCCAAAGAACTAGAAATAGAAAAACTACCAGTAATTGTCTTTCAGAACCTTTTACCCTATAGCATCTTTTCTTTCAAATTCATACTCATGCATTCACTTCATTTTTACTGGAAAAGATGACATCATAATGAAAATTACATTTCGAGATGTTCTCAAGAACCTTAATGTTACCAATAAAAGTATTATGCAACAATGATGGGACATATGGCTTGTCTCTTATGCGAGCATGGCTGATAGCCATTAACTGGTGACCAGTGTGAGAGTCCGGTTCATGTTGCCTACAGTCGCTCTTGAATCTGTTGAGTTAGCAAGACTTATATGGCATGACAAGGCATCATGGTGATGGATTTGTTACTTTGCGTGTGTATATTTTATTACTCCAGTGGGTGGATATGTTGTTATATGTAATGAAGGTTAGAGAGATTGGATTATTTGAATGTTTCTGTTGACCTAGAATTGTGCAACGCCATTGATGTTCTGAAAAATGAGCTAAGAACTAAAAACTACCCCAATGATTATACTGGAGTTGCGTGATAGGATTTCCAACTAGGCATTCATATTCACTCCCCCCACTTTTCCCTTTTCAGCCATAAAAGCAGGAAAAAACAATGGCTCCCAGACAAAGCAAACCTAGAGGAGGACCAATGGTAGTAGGCGATGAGGAGATAGTGGCTTTCTTTTACATAGTGGTGTAAGTAGGTGACATGTTGAGTGTCTAGTTCTGACACTTGAGCAGAGTTTGTGTAAATATCTAAAAAAAGTTGGGGCCAATATGTAAATGATATACATAAACTTATGAATTTATGTGAAAATAAAAAATCGATATCTAGCCTATTTGCAGTTGAAATGTGATTAGTTATATGATCAACTTTTTAAACCTTTCATTAAGAGGATGGGTTGGGGATCAGGGCGTGACAGAAATACTGCCTAACAAATCCCCTTTCTTGTTCGGCTGTACGACTTCTGTTCTCTGTGTCTGTGCCACTAATCTCATAGAGCGGTAAAACATCCATGCTTTATGTCATTGCAGCAGAACCCTTTTTAAAAGAGAGACTAAAATCGTATCACAATAAGAGAAGCAAGCAAACGAGTTTATCATAACACTTCAAAAAAAGTTACAGAAAATCAAATCAATTAATACTAAAAGTAAAAACTTCCACTGTTGATGAATTCCACTCACAACATTAAGTTAAACTACTAAGCATGTAAGACGTAACCCCCTATAGTAGATAGAAATTCCCCACCACATAATCAATTGTACTTCAGACAACTTTACAATACCTGGTTAGCTCCATGCTTGAGGCGCCGATACTGTTGCAACCAAAGAAAAGTTAAATGAATCTTTCTTGCTTGAATGAGTAGAGTCTTTAAGAAATGTGAAGAGTAGTGATGATAAGAACATTAATTACCTTCCCAACATTGAAGTGTTTGGTCTCATGACCCAACCAGCGAAGATATCTCGTAAGTTTAGCAGCAGTAAAAGTCTTCCCTCGAGCTGGCAAGCCAACCTAGAATACAAGCACTTGTTAGATCATTCAGTCTCAACAATACAGTTAAATGAATGTTAAATGGAATTATGAACCTATAAATATTGGTAGTTGCTTCTAGAATCCAACTTTTAGACCACTGAGAAAGAGTCTGAAATTTTAAATTTTAATTTTAATTTCCCTACACTTACAATGTAAATAGACAAGGGAAACCGATCATCAAATTAATTAGCATATATGATTAATCACTTATCAGAAAGATACCAGGACAATTGCCAGATGGCTATCCTCCTTTGGTCCAAGCATTTGATCAGCTACAGCTGCAGCTGCAACAGCTCCAGCAGCTGCTGGCATTGCATTCTAACAATTCAGGAGGAAACCAAGCAACAATAAACCAGTCAAGACTTCACCGTTTTAGGAATAAATTTTCTCCCTGCGTAAATGGAAGTGATGAGTTTTTACAAACCTTGCGTTCAGAATCTAGTTTGAGATCCGTAGTGAAAGTAGCTGCACTGGCTGATTTAGCAAGCCTAGGAGATCCCACGCCCCTATCCACAAAGAGTCCTCTTTGACTATCTTGCTTTTGAAAAGGCGAAAAAGTTCCCACTGATTTTGATTCAACCATGCCAGAACCTGAATACACCTTAGATGGATCTGGAACTATGATCTCCATCTCCTACATAAATGTTGGCACCATGAATTTTGGATCTAGAAGCTTAAAAGAATGCCAGAAGAAGAAGGTACAAACCAGACCCTGACGGAAGATCAATCAAAACACATCACAGTGCATTAATGGTGCTTTTAAGTTGTAAAATTATTTGCAATTTGCACATGGTACAATTTCAGGTGCATATAACTAAAATAAATAAATAAAAATAACTCTCAATCTGATCAAAGTTAAACTGCATGGCGAATGGAAGTTTTGAAATATGACAGGTAATATTAGATGGTTTAATAACCCACACTGATATAGCTTACAAGATCCTTCAAGGCTTAGTATTAAATCTTTGTTAGAAAAATGAAATTCAGGGAAAAAGATAAACCTTTATAGTCGCAGGTCGATCAATGGGAACACCACTATCATTGTAGGAATGTGAAGCACCAGTTGAGCCATCAGTGTTGGAGAATACCCCAGCACGGTTCAGTGACCTTGGAGTCTCTGTCATGTTAGCTGCATAAACCAGACCAGAGTTTGCAGAAGTTATTGGAGCTGGGACAACATAATGCTCAAGATCAAGCTCCAAACTTGCTGAAGAGCCAAGCTGGCAGAAAATGAGAGTAAATATCAGTTCACACTGTATTAAAGATTATTTAATGGATATTTACAACAATTTTTACCCGCAAAAAGAAAATGAGTATTTACAACAATGTAAAATTGGTTTCCATCCTTTGACACGAGTCACACGAGTATTTAGAACAACATTTGACACGAGTCACAGAAAATTGAAATGAATAGAAGGTGGGTGGAACGAGAAAGTATCCCCAGGGAAAGTAAAGGGTCTTTCCCTCCTTTTTTTTGGTTGAGCTGGAAGAAGGCAAAAGGGAAGAAAGTGGTGTTACGTAATTGTTTTCATTATACCCTTTCCTTTTTTTTAGTACTCATTATACCCTTATATATTAAAAATAATTTTTTTAAAAATTAAAAGATGTAAAATAAAAGGGAAAAGGGGAAGAAAAAAAAAGGAAAGGAAAGGAAATGCCCTTCCCCTCCACCTCGACACCACTTTTAGGAGGTAATAATATGAAAGGCTCCAAGAGCACAGCCCTCTCCTCTCTTATTTTCCCTTCTCTTTCCTTCTTAGCCAGTACGAAGCCAGGAAATTCCCAGGCATCCCTCTGCTTTTTCTTCCTCCCATTTGTTCCTTCAACTCAGAGTCAGAGAGACTATAGCAAATAAGGAATATGTTCGCTTTACTTAGAATGACCGTCGCACATGTACACGCACAAGCAAGTTTGAGGCTTATATCATAATTATGCACATCAATATAATGTACTTAATAAGCTAGTTAACATTTTGAAGTGTCCTCGTAACAGATTCTAATTACTTCTTTCAAAGTTTTATGTATTCAAATTTTCAAATTCAACTTTTTAAAATTATGCATGTTCATAAATACCGAATATTGCAAAAGCAAATAAATGGTTCCTAAAGATAGAAAAAACATGCATGATGAATCCAAGGCTTTCTTAAGTAGGTCAGTTGAAATAGTAATTAGCATTAGAACAAATAAAACTTTCTTATTAGAAAGCCTTACACATTACTTGTTTGTGTCTTGTCTCATTAGTTAGAAATGAATTGACATAAAAAAAAATTTTTTTTTTTTCATAGGTAAGACACACACACCCACAGACCCACCTGGCCACCTATTGCCTCGCTGGGACTTGAACCCTCAACCTCCCATATGGGAGCAGGAGTAAATACGACTAGGCTAGACCCTTGGTGGTTAAAAAAAAATGACCTTGACTTACACAAGATGAAGCCCAGTGTTTTTATAGCTCCCTACAATGTAGAGATGTGGTTATGTGCTTCTTCTTTTTTGTCAAAAATAAAATCTAAATTTTTGTGCTAAATTTTCTTTTTATGGTTAAACCAGGGGCCACAAATTAATTGTTAGACCACTTGAAATGGAGGGATGGGGACAAATGGAAGGACAAAATGGAGAGAGTCTCTTTTCCCTTGTTTGAATGTTTAAGAGAGAATAGAAAAGAATAAAGAAGGTTGATCATCCCCAATGCTATTTTCATCTTCCTCCCAAAAGTGAGAGAATTTGTCGAGCAGAGAAAATGAGTTTGTAGTTACCATTTAACGATTAGCTTTTATAAAAAAAAAATAATAAAATAATATAAAAAAATAAATTGTATTTTTAGCCTTCCTACAAACAAAATAACACATGTTCCTTTTTTAACCTCCTTATTTTCCCTCACAGGGAGAGGGATTATGAGCTTCGCTTCCTTTCTTTTCTCTCCTCAGGGGACAAATACTGTGTCTTTTTATTATTTTTTCCTCCAGAAACTCTGAAAAGCTATAAAAGTATTTTATTTTTTCAACACAAGTCCTGTATGTATCTATCTGCTATGTCATTCCTTCTAAGAAGGAAAAACATTATTGACCAAGAAATACACTAAGCATAAGATTTGTTAGATACTTAGTTTCAGTTTGAAATGGAATAATTATAACTGCGGAAAACAAACCATTCACAATGAAATGTTTTTCTTGGTAAAAATTATATACTTTTCTATGGAAACTTATGTAAAAGGTTTTAATGCTACAGAATTCATATGGAAAATAAATAAATAATAATAATAATAAGATGATACTTCAGAATCTTATTTCCTTCTATTCCTTCATAAGTTGCCTAGCCACTGTTGTTACAATGATATGTATTTGAATGTAGAAAACAAAAATGCAGCTCTAGTAAGTAAATATTGGAAATAGAAGATGGAGGACATTTCTTAGCAAGGGTTGTCCAGCATTGTATAGCTAGTTAAAATTAAAACATCAACAACTGTGATCACATCCATACCTCAGCACCTGGCTCTGGCACCGAATTTATACTAACATCAGGAATACCACGGACAGTGGAAGGCTGCAAATTGTCCTGATAAGCTCTCCAACTAGCAGCTAGATCAAATGGCGAAACCCTGTCAGCTTTAATGAGCACCCTGTACTCAAGCACGTCTTCACTATTCAGCCTAAACAGAGCCGGCCTTGCATCCTCGTGCTGCAAGGTCCCCCCAGTGAGGAGCCGGTTCGGTCCCTCCTCAAGTATACAGGGCACATTATTGTACTGGGGCTTCAACATGAACTTGAAATCCAATGTTTCTAATTTCAAACAATAAAATCAACAATTCTTCAAATTAGATACACATAAACCCTAGATAATCAGTTAAAGAGCGCAGTGTTCAGTTACCGTGATTAGGAGGGACAACGAAACTCAATTCCCACATTGACGCCGATTCGCGTTCCAGTGAAAGCTAACAATGTCATTGTCATTGAATCAAACAGTTAGTGATCAGAAAAAAGATTGAATTGAATCAAATTGGGGAATGGAAGGAGAGTGATTACTGCTTTGGAGGAGTCCCAAGAGCCGACGAGGGGCACAGAGCCGTAGACGTGAGGGATGAGTTCGCCTTTGGGCTTGTAATTCTCCATCTTGATAGAGACGAAGAGTTGTCCTCCTTCATGGTCTTCTCTCTCTTCGCTGCCATGAGAGGTGGAGTCCGTGTTCTTGGATACACCAGTCCCCATTCGCTCTCTCTCTCTCTCTAAACCCCTATCTCTCTCTCTCTAGAGTCCTCGATGCTTATTCTTTTTTGAACATAGTGTGATAAATATCATGAGATTCTATATTTGTGTGTGAAGTTGTGGATAGGTAGAGAGAGATTGAGAGATGGAGCTTGAAGGCAGTTGTTTTGGTGTTTTGTGTTTTGTGTTTTGATAAGAATATAATAAAGTGCGTGACCGGTGAGGACGTTGGATGATGCGGGGACCAGGCGGAGTTGCTCGAACAATACTCTCTCTCTCTCTCTCTCTGATCTAAATCTATGTATCTATCTATATACTAGTGTGTGTGTGTCTATATATATATATATATATATATATATATATATATAGTTTTTCAGATGCTGTGGGGTTTGAGGTTTGAAGTTCGCGGTTGAGTAGGTAAATGTATAGACTCGCTTACATTGGTAGACACCTGTGCATCACTCGACTTGTTTGGGTGTCAATGATGTGGCTACGTGCAAGGGAGCTAGCCCATTTGGGATCCGGATAGAAAATGGATGGAGTATGTTATAAATATTTTTTTTTTTCAATTCTTAAAAATAAAAATAAAAAAATGTGTAAAAACTTTATTTACTTTAATTATTATGTAAACTCAGTTATAAATTGTTTTTGTGAGTTTTTGAGAATTGTCTTACAAATTAAATAGGCTCTAAGCATCGTGTACAATCAGATTAAGAGACTGACTCGGTTATTTATTAATCGTATTTGGTGTTAAACAAAGCATCCATTCAAAAGATATCCAAATGAGTAGACAGAGAGTCAGAGTGATCCGATTTTTTTATGATTTTAAAATGCTTTGGTTGGTTACTTGAATTTAATGATAAAAAACAAAAATCATAATTTAAATAAATCAATGAAATTATCAAAAAATTAAAATAAATAAAAAGACTTGATAAGATCCTAATGCATCTAATCTTTTTTTAATTCACAAAATTTATATGGTGTTAAATATTACATGGATCCACAATAAATTTTCATAATATCACTCTTGTATTTTCTCTTTTTCTTTTTTGGTAACGGACTCTTACGACTTTTAACCGAGTAATCCTTAAAATACTCATTTTTTTTCATTAAATTTTCTTCATTTGTTTGATATCATTAAATGTCAAATTCTAAAAGTCAATGCACCTTTTTCAATTGGAGAATGCTAAGTACAGTTATGGCTATTGTGACTCTACAATTTCGGCTTTAAAAGATTGAACTTGCAGAGTTATGACCATAGCAACTTTTTGTTAATTTTATTTTGTATATAGACTTGAAGTTAATTATTTAATTAATGCCCCATTGAATTTTTTATAGATTTTTTGAAACAGACAGCCATATATGGTATTATACACTCTTTCTGTTCAAAAAAAAAAATGTCGCAATTTCGGCTTTAAAAGATTGAACTTGCAGAGTTATGACAATAGCAACTTTATGTTAATTTTATTTTGTATATAGACTTGAAGTTAATTATTTAATCAATGCCTCATTAAATTTTCTATAGATTTTTGAAAAAGACATCCATATATGGTATTATATAGTCTCTCTGTCTCAAAAAAAATATCATGTTTTTCTTTGATCTGTCCCAAAATAATTGTCACTTTTCTTTTTCAAACAGTATATTTTACATCTTTTCATATACATCTTTGGAGTTTAAAATTTCAAACTTACATATTCAAAACTTAGAATGACAAATTAGTAACTTTACAGAGAAGTAAGGCATGTCTCACATGTCTCCTTAAAAACTCCTACTCTTCCAAAGCACATCTAAATTGGAACAAAGGGAATATATATATATACACACACACACTTAGTATATATGTAACGACCCGAATCCGTAGGTCCGAACCGTTAACCGGGTCCGAACCGTTAACCGGGTCCTTACCCGAACTCGAGGACACTTAAGTCGATCCACATCAAGTCTAGGTAAACACGTCATCATTATACCTTAACTAAGCTTCATGAAGGCTTTAAATCAACTTTCAAAGGGTTAAGGTTTAAATGAACCAAGGAAGGAGCAAAGATGCACTAGCAGCTCCATTTCGGTCGGTTGAAATGGCCTCTGAAGTGCCTCCTGAACCGGTTGACCGAAATGGGGTTTCGGTCGGTCGAAATACAAAGTCCCGAGGCTGTGAAATGAATCGGTCGACCGAAGTACCCATTTCGGTCGACCGAAATAGCTCTGCGAACCCTGAAATCAGCTACTAAATTTGCTGAAATGAATAATTATCTTCCTTTCACTTGAAATAAAAAAGTTTACACACACAATATACGATCAAAAAAAATGATTTTACAAGTGTTAAACTATCATTATAACAAGTTTACAATTTTTGAAGCAAAAACAAGGTTTTTACAAAGGTTCAAAATATACAACTTTAACAAATGGTGTCTAAACTTTACAAATGGAGCTTTGTTCCTAATTACATACAAAAGGCAATAAACAAAAGTCACAAATCCCTCTAAGAGCTGTGGTGGATTGTCGCCCGCCACTCCTTTTCCCGAACCTGAAAAATGTTAAATAATAGGGTGAGTTAAAAACTCAGTAGGAGGTGCCTAAGACACACCTTTTGAGACCCTGTGAATACTAACAATGAATAGAAAATACGAAGGCGGGATCATACCATGCCGAGGAGAAAATAATCCACAAAATCACATTTATAACCGAGTTATGAATAAATATGCCATACAATGAGATGCAATGTCACTCCCCATTTTCCTTTCCAAAACCCCTTTTCAAAAACTTTTCTAAAAACACCATTTCATTCTTTTCAAACATCATTTTTCTCATTTCTTCCCAATGAAGTGTATGAATGTTTTATGCTAAGACTTATCATTATACAACGAATTCAACTTAAACCACTAGCAAGCTTTACAAGAATTTTCACAAAAATACCACATGCTTTTATTTAATCAATAATCTAGCATGGCAATCACATAAAAACATGAATTTTAGTCCATATAAACATGCTTGAATCACAACTCATCAATTTACACATAATTAAACCTTCCATATACAACATCTAAACAATTTTTCAAGAATCAAAACCAAATAGGCATGCTTGATAACAATCCATACCAAGATAATTCACAAAAATTCAAGAAATTGTGAATTAAACACCCCTACCTCTCAAAAATGCAAAAAGCCCCAAATCCAAGCTCTAAGTTCAAAATTACTGTGGTGCACCAAATGATGAATAGCTTACATCAATGCGTGGATCTCGTCGAGCTTTCCGTTTTGCCGCAAATGGCACCAAAAATCTCCCGATGATTGAGAAGTAATCTAAACTTGAAATTGATAAAGAAAGAAAAAGAAAAAAAAATAAAAATAAAAAAAATAGATGAGAGGGGAGGAGAGAGCTAGCAGGAGAAGAGAGAATTTGAGGCCTAAATGGCCTTATGGCCATTAAAAAGGAAAGTGGTGGGTCCCATCACTTAAAAAAAATATTTTCCTCATTTTAACTTCCACCACACATATAAATATAAACACAAACTATATAAGATCCACATAAAGCACACTAATTAAAATAAATGAAGTGCAAATGGACCGAAACAACATCACCGTACACGACAATTCCGGTAACGGGTCCAACACGGGACCGTCCGACCCGAAAAATGGAAACATGCCGAAATGGCAACCGATGCATTTTCCAAGAGTCCTGAACTCAATGGAATGCCCCAACCAACTCTCGGACAGACCCGGCACACTCCACGGTGTTCTGCGCGCAAAACGAGAAAAGACGAAAATGCCCTCGCAAAATAAAAAAATTTCAGAAAATGAAAAATAGTGAAAATTGGAAACATTACAATATAATACATTGCTACCTATTCCACCTCTCTTAGAAAAGGTCAATGGTCTGTTTTTTAGCGATTTTCATCCGAATTTCGCTATTGGACGCCAAAATTTAGGCCCCACCCAATGAGTCGCGGAATGGGTCGCTGAAAACTGCGACCCTCTTAGTGAGCCGCGGGCCAACCATGCGAGTCCACATCAATTTTGTTTTTATTTATTTTTTATTCTGGCCCAAAACAATGTTTTAGCCCATAACACTGTTCCTAAGGGTATGTTTGCTTGAAAAAAAAAAAAAAAACATATTTTTGGCTTCTTTTGGTCTCTTTTGTTTTTTTCCTCAAAATAATTGAACCAAAAAACCGTTAAGTCACTGTTTGGCTAACACAAACAGTGCCTTAAAAGGCCTTTTTAGGGAAAAAGTGTTTTTTTTTTTAAAAAAAAAATTTACTTTTTAAAATATTCCTACTGGCATATAGCCGTTTTAGGCACTGTTTGGGTTACCAAACAGTGCCTTAAACAAAAAACCTATTTTTTGATTTTTTTTAAAAAATAATTTTATTTATTTATTTACTTATTTATTTTATTTTTTAAAAAAAAACTTTCATTTTTTCTCAATAGATACATCAACCCCCTACTATTATTCACCTCATATCCAACCTATTTTCTCTAGTCTTCAACCTGTAACTACAACCACTAAGTCATTTTCTCAATCTTTTAGTTATATTTTTTACTCAAGTTCAATTTCATGGATCCGACACCACCATATTACAACTACAACCACAATTCAACCAATCAAATAATTTTGATCTCTTCTTATTTGCTGGAGAATAATCACAATTTATTGGAGAAGAATCTCAATTTCCGTCTCATTAACCTTCTCAAGTTTTGCCCATTCCTAGAATCCTACTGAAATGCCACAATCTAGTAACTCCCAACCTCTCAGAAAGCAAAAGGCTATTCGGCCTCCTAATTGGTCTACGGTTGAAGATGAGGCTTTATGTTATGCGTGGATGGCCATTAGGACTGATGCAGTCATCGGCTCAGACCAACAAAAGATAGCGTTATGGATCCGAATTCATGAAGGTTTTGAGCAACACGTTAGTTGTGCTGGTACACCTAAAAGAAATCATAATACCTGTTTGAATAGTTGGTCCTTCATGCAACAAATATTATTAAATTTTCTAGATGCATAGCCCATATCGAAAGAAATTACTTTGGTGGGCAAGATAATGAATACAAGACAAGTTATTTATTATATTAAATTTAATTGGTAGATATTTTAAAGATTTGTCTTCTAATAATTATTGATTTTTATTTTTTAGATGATAGCAGCCAAAGAGTTGTTCACTCGTCAAAATAACACCAAATTTAAGTTTGACAGTTGTTGGAACATTTTGAAGAGTGACAATAAATGACATTTATATTGTAAAAAAGAATTGACATCCAAAAAAAAGCAACAACCGAAGAAGATGAGTGGAATCCACATTGGTGATAGTGAGCCTATTGCTTACTCAAACCCATCAACTCCATCAAGTAATGCAGCAACGACACCAAGTTCGGTTGAAGGATTGGTGCACATAAGCGAAAATGAACCGACAGATGTTGAAAAATGTCAGCGACCACAAGGACGAAAAGCAACGAAACAGAGGCGAAATAAGGATAAATGTTCTAGCCAAATTCATAATGAATTCATTAACAAATTTGATCATGCAACAGCCCTTTATCAATCTAAATCTGAAAGTCTTGAAGCTGCTCAAATAGCACGAGAGGCATGCAAAACAGATAAAGAAAAGACCAGACAACTCAAGCTTCAAAGCAAACTAAGAGAGATTGAAAACAAACAAAGAGCTAAAGAGATGTTAATCGTGCAAAAAGATCCAGAATCGATGCCAACACAAACGGAAAAGCATGACCAATTGAATGCTAAAATGAAATATTAGCATCTATACGCTCACGTGGTAACTCAAGCTTTCCATATGATTATCTCAAGCATTCCATATGATTGTTCCGTTTTTCCTAGTTGTCATGTTTTTCCTACTTGATTGTATTATTATTATTATTTTTATATTCAAGTCGTATTATATTGTTTTTTTTTTTTTTATTGTATTGTTTAAATTCATATCGTATCGTATTGTTTTTAATAACAAATATTGTATTGTTTAAATTTTTTGTATGATACAGCCGTTTTAAAAATAAAGTTTTTAGGAAAAAGCTAAAAAATAAAATTTATTAAAAATTTTAAAAATATTAAAATATTAATATTTTTGGAGAGCAAAAATGCACCATTGGAATACATGCTCTTAGATCAGCTAGTTTTTAGAGATTCAGGGCCTTTTATAGCTATTGGGTCAATCCAATAGAGTCTCCAAACGCGACATAGTTAGCGATTGCAGGCTGCCTTGTGCGGGCCTGTTCATTTTTTTTCAAAACTTTTGTGGCCCAGCAATACTGTAGCCTACAATAAATTTAAGGGTGTGTTTGACTGTGAAAAAAATTCCAAAAATTGTTTTTTTTTGGCATTATTTTGCCTTTTTTTTTTCCTCAACATAATTGAACCAAAGAGCCGTTAAGGCATTGTTTGGCTGACACAAACAGTGCCTTAAAGGCTTTTTTGAGTAAAAAAAGTTCAAAAAAAAAAATGGAGAAAAATGATTTTTTTTTCCTTTTTAAAGTTTTCAATATTTGTACTAACATTATAGCCGTTTTAGGCACTGTTTGGCTGATCCAAACAATGCCTTAACAGCTATATTAGCACAAAATCATATTTTTTGATTTTTTTTTTTAAACAATTATATATATATTTTTTGAAAAAAAAAAAACTTTCATTTTCTCTTTATAAATACATCAACCTCTACTATCACTCACTTCATATCCAACCCATCTATATTCTCTACTCTTCAACCTATAACTACAATGATTGTTGTGTTTTTCCTAGTTGATTTTAATAATGGTATTGTATTATTATTATTTTTAAATTCATATCATATTGTATTGTTTTAATTTTTATAATTCATAATAAATATTGTATTGTTTAAATTTTTTGTATGATATAGCCGTTAGGAAAAAATTAAAAAATAAAATTTATGAAAAATTTTAAAAATTTTAAAAATTTTGAAGAGCGAAAATGTACCATTGGAGTATATGTAATAGATAAAATTTGAAAACTCTAAAATGCTGACGTGATTTTTGAAAATGCTGATGTGGCTTTGGAAAATGCTAATGTGGCAAATTCGAGGAGCCAATTTTTAGAGACTCCATTGGAGTTGTGGCAAATTCGAGGAGCCAATTTTTAGAGACTCCATTGGAGTTGCTCTTAGAGCATCTCCAGTGGAGTCTCTAAAAAATGGGTCTCCAAATTTGCCACATCAGTATTTTTCATAGGCCATATCAGCATTTTCAAGAGCCATATCAGTGTTAAGACTCTCCAAATTTTAGTTATGGCTAGTGCTCCAATATTGCATTTTCGCTCTCCTATTTTAATATTTTTAATAATTTTTTTTAACTTTTTCCTAACCACTATATCCATTATCATTTGATGTATTTATTTATAAAGGTGAAAACAAAGAGAATAAATTTCATTTTGTTAACAAAAAAATACAATTTTCTCAATTATTTATTTATTTTTTTTACTGTTTGGCTCATTTGTTTTGAGGGAAAAAAAGGAACAAGAAAAAAAAGACCAAAAATACTCCCAAAACTGGTTTCTATAATTTTTTCCAGCCAAACACGCCCTTAACCTAATTATATGGGCTGAGGGCTACATTGATTTGGACTTTAAAAAATAAAGAAAAAGGAAGTGGGCCTGCACAAGACAGGCCAGCAATCGCTAACAGGGTTGCCCTTTTTTGGCAACACATTCCGCGACCCAAAAAATTGAGTCCACATTTTGGAGATCCCATTGGACTGCCCAAATAGCTAGAAAGGCCCAAAATCATTAAAAAAAAAATAATTAAAAAAAAAAAAAAAAAAAAATAGCCATTGAAAATTTGGAGCTGCTCCTAGAAAGAAAAGTAGGTGGATTCGGTAAGTAGTAACAATAGGTGTGTGAATCAAGTTTATTAATTTATTTTTATTCAATTGATTTATTTTTTATTTTCATTGATTATTACTTGACTACTCAGTAGCTAATTAAAAAGGTTAGCTAGTACTTGAATTATTTTAACAAACTTGTGCAACTTTTATTTTTTATGGTTATTGTTTTGGTTTATTTCTTTTAGGATATTATCATCAAAGATTGCCACCACTCGTTTATAATTTGTGATAAGTTGCTACACAAATTTAAAGTTGGGACCGAAATGGGGATTAAGATTGAAATTCTTGTTTGGCGATCAACTCATGCTTATTTATTTTGTTCGACACATTTTGAACATTTGATCAACACGAACACCTAATCAACATATTTGTTATCAATGGACTTATATAAAACAAACTCATGACAAATCTAAAAATAACGTTACGAACATACATCAAAGTGTTCTTTCAACCAACAAAAATATAACTTAATAAAAACATATGATGGTAATAGCACGCGCGTGTGTGTAATATAGCATGTTTCTTTTTTATATATTCAAATAGCGTTATTTTCTATTTTATGTAACTTTAGTATAGAGTGTATAAATTAATTAAAGTTCTATAATTATCTTATTTAATAAATATATAAATAAATATACGTATTTCTTAGCATACTACTCGGGTTAAATATAAAACCTGAACGCCAAGAGGTGCTGCTGACAACCAAACCTGAAGCAAAAGTTAGCTTTGAAGTAGCTAACTTCAGCTAACTTTCTGTCATGGTACTGTAAGCAATATCATATAGGACATCAACAATACACAAGGAGGTGAAATTTCATTACTTGGTATATGTTCACATATATCAATATGCACACACACACACACACACACACATATATATACTGGAATTTGTGATGGTTATTGAATTTACATTGTGAATGCTAAGCGATTGCGAGCAGTTTTTCATTCATACATGCCAAATATTCTGTTTGTATCATTGGGTGTTTGGATAGAAAGAAAATAAAGCAACACTTGGGGTTTTATTCATTGTTAAGGAGTTTGGCAATTTGAAATTGGTATTCTCATCAATTCCTCATTTTATGTGTTCTGTTAATCCAACATTGCACAACTCATTGTACTGATTGATTTTATAGTAATTGCTCAATACAGTGCTGGGTTATAATGGTGTTCAGGGTCCTCTTATTTTTCTTCTTCATTTTTAATGACAAGAGTAATGAAATTACAAGTTGGTATGCTTATATATCAATCAAATATATATCGTCTGCTACTTGTTTGTTGTTTTTACATTTGAACCATAAGAACCTGTTTGGTAGGAGGGAAGAATGGAAGGAAAAGAAAAGGACAGACAGAGTTCCCATTCTTTGCTAGGAAAAGAATGAAAGGAAAACACTTTTTTCTCCAAACCTTTCTTTCCTTCTCCTTTGTTGCCCCTTCTACAAAATTGAGCATAAATCGAATTTTGACTAATAAACACCTTCTTTAAACAATATATGCAGAATAGGATATAGGTCTCATATAGCTTTAATATATACTGGGACTAACAAGCAGGTCAGCTCACTTCATCCTTTTATTTTCACAGTTGTGATTTTGGAACTTCATTATCGGTCTTAGTATGAGCTGACTCATCCCGAATTTTCCCATTTCCAATTCAAATATCTCCTGCACTAATCTTTAGCTGCTGTCGATCTTGTTTTACTAATCTTTAGCTACAGCAGACCTTCCTATATTAACCCTTTGCCACTTTATCACAAACATTTTCAACTATATATATGTATGAACATATCTATTTATGTATAACAAATGCATAGATATATAATTATCACAGGGTATGATCGAGTTGGACAGAATTATTTTGGTTGCAAAAGCAATTTATGCAATAGAAGGGTTTGATTACCAGCCAAATACACAAATACTTCAAGCTACTTTTTTAAGGGTGCCTCAATTTGTTAGATTAGTGCTTGAAAGTTGAGTTGAGAACAGAAGAAACCTATCTGGAATCTTCTGCAGATGTATAGATATAGAGAGTATCTCTGATATAGTAGTTCACAATTACCAGTGATATATCTGGTCTAGCCAAAAAATAACACCTTTTACATTGGTGGGCCGTGGTGTGCCACGGACCACAATCTGCATGCTATCAAGAGTAGGGAGTTTTAGTAGCATACTATTGTTTTTGACAACTCATTTTAACCTTCCTTAGTTCTTCGAATGCCTCCGTGGTGTCCACATCAAAACCACCTGCAAACTGGAAGATTTTGTGGTTAGCAGAACAGGTGAAGGAAATATGAGGTAGTCTTCCAGAGGGTTTCATTTTACCTGGTGCACTCTATAAGCAAACCGAACGCCTTGTAGCAATAGAATCTCTTCTTGCGAGGATTCATTGTATTGCAATTCTTTAGTTACCCTTTTCATATATTCCTTTGCCAGTGCCAATGAACTCAATTTCATCTGCGAAGAACGATAGGGAATTTACTGCTACAATGGTCAGGTAGAAAAAGCCTTTAGTGTGCACATCATAAAGTCTTGGATGACTAGTTACTCTGTTTCTACAGTATGATTCACTTACTGTGACTGATTATATGCGCGCGCGCGCGCACACAAACTTTAGTTATAATGAACTAATTTATTATAACTTTTATTGGTAAAGAGTTGCTCTCAGCTTAATTAAACATACATGCTTTATGATAAAGCTAGTAATGTGCCACCTACCTGGCCAATGAGCCCGATGTCCAGCATCCATTTCCAAGGGATATGGAACTCCCTGTATCTCTTGCTTGTAGCCTCTCTCATTCTCTCAATGTTGTCAACACTTCTTTCCAATCTGCATTATATGAAATTTAATCACGTAATTAAAAAAAACACACAATTGAATGAAGCAACACATAGTACCCTATAGTATACATGCTCGCCTGTCTTGCAATGCTTGTATCTTTGTAAGGGACTGGGTCAAAAGCTGTTTTGGATTATCTTTGAATGATGAAACTTCATATTGGAGGTTTTTCAGGTCCCGGTAGTTGAATGCAGCTTCGCGCAATGCATCTGCTTTTCTCTCTGGCCACCGCGGGAAGTGCTTCAACACAGCCCTTTCATCAACCAGGCAGGACAGCTCTCCATCTAGCCATTTCACAAAGGTCTCCACATCGGAAATCTCTGTAAAGGCTGCACCCTCCACCTCCCTCGTTAAGAAATTAATAAATTCCCCTTGAGTTTCCACATCTGATTTTATCTGTGCATAAAGACACACAGTAATCAGCAGAATTTATGTTTTGGGATAAGTAAAAAAATGTAAGAATTGGTTGCTAGCATACTTACAGCTAATAGATAAGCTGATCGGTTCTCAATTTCTCCAATCATGTTTCTAGAATTTGTGGCTGATGGCAATCCCATCTGATTGGTTTTGCTCTCCCTTTGCGAATCTCTCTTCATGAGTGAACGATAAAAGTCCATCACCTCTGGCACACGATGCACTGCTTTCGATCTAACTAGCAATTTTGATGGTGGTGGTGGCGGCGGTGGTGGTGGTGGAGGTGCTGGTGCTGGTGGCACTTTGTTTCCATTTACTTCTTCGACATAGGCAGGAACTGTAGTGGTAGGTGGAGGCCTAGGTGGTGGTTTTGGTACTCTGGCCGGGCTCTCCTTTTTGGCTGCAGCTTCTACTAAATCTTCCTTTGGATACAGGTTCTCCACTACTGGACTCTTCTCTGGTATTTCCATCTGAATTGCTGGTTTCTGTAAATATTTCTCTGTGATGTTGCTATCCATTGAGTACTGCAACTTCTTCCAAAGCATGGATTTCCTCTCATTATCGTGCGCTTTGAGGGCACTTACTTGCACCCTTAGCCGAGCCACTTCTTGTTTTAATTCCAGATTTTCTTTCTCCAGTGAATTGATCATCGCCAGAGAAGCTTCAAGTTCTCTCCTGAGGAAGGCGATCCTCGATTCATGATCAGGAATCGCCATCCTGTTCTGTTTTATGATGACAGGAGGAAGAGGGAAGCTGAAATGAATTGCTGGATCTTCCTCTTTATGCATGGCCTTACTTCTGAAGTAAGGTATGTGTTCTTCACCTAAGCCTGAAAGGTAAAACAGTTGAGACAATGCCCCTAGATGTGGTAGAATGGCAGGCTGATGTAGTGTAAGTTATTCTAGGGAGAGGATGTTTTGGACATTTCACAAGTCACAACCCTCTGTTAGATTTGGTGATTTAAATTTTACCATTGTATTTTAGTTGTTTGTGTAGGTGAGAGATGTTTTTTACAAGTCACAACCGTTGCCAAGTTAGGTAACCATTAAATTCTCTGGTCAAGTTTAATTTCCCTATGACTTATATGAGTGGTTTCATTTGAAAACCCTAATAAGTAGTGTAGCTCTCTAAATTCTTCCACATTTTACACAGAGTGTATAGCATGGCCTTTGCAACAGATGAAATGTGATTGATTGCAAAATTCCAACTGTCGGTGTGTGAAAACTTGTCTTTCGATTCCCCCACCGTCCATGCGTCGGCAGCGGACTGGGCTATTGGAAACCATTAGGTCAATCTGTTCAAAATTTCTGTGAATTGATGTCTAGGGTATCATATGCAAATGCATTTTCTATTCTTTGCTTGTGAAGCAATTGAAAACTTAGAAAAAGAGAAGAAAAAATATATATATAAAGGACAGTGAGAATGGAAAATTAAAGAAAAAAGAAAAAGAAAAAGTCTGATTATTACAGCCTACCAGAATGAAGTCCTCATATTTTCACTTTCTTTTAGTCCTTTTCCTTTATCTTTTTTTAAAGCTCCTAGTTAGTATGGGTAGCCATGATAGGAGTTCAGAATAGTGAAGATGCTATTGGTAAGTAGAAGGCAAAAACAGATTTAAGTGACATTGCTTTTTATTTATTTATTTATTTGGTAGTTGGACTGGACTTATAATTCCATAATTTCATGATTATGGTGAAGAACATCAAGCAATTAGGTTGAGAGGTTCCTCATGCACCTTTAAAATTTTGTCAACATTTTAATTAACTTCTCCTGCAAAAGGGAAACATCTATACTTGAAAGCCAACCACTAGGGTTCAGCAATCTAAATCATCTTTAAAAATCTTTAATTGTTACACACACACACATACTTATTTATTCAAATTATTAACAAGATTAAAAAAAAAAAAAAGGTGCTTTAAATTCTAGCAGTAGGTAGACCCTGCTTTGAGATCCTTAATTTCTTTTTTTATTCTTTTTATTATTTATTTTTTATTTATTTTTTGTGTAGGGTCCATGCCAATCTTTATTTATTGAATTCCATTGCCTATGGGTTAGGGAACCCCTAGAGAGGGGTGGTGGACATGCACAACTGGGTGATAACTCAAGAACATAAGAATATGAGATGGGTATTGTCTTTGGTCCTAATTTATTGTAGGAGTATGAAACTTGAGCAAATTCATGGTGGACATTTCACTCATATGGTTGATGCCCTTAAACAAAGGGAAGCTAAGCTGTCTACCAAATTAGTCAAATAGATGGTACTAGTATTGATTTCTGAATTCTCGGTACCTGTCGCTAACTTCTCTTAATGTTATAATTATTGAAGCCTGTCACAAGTTTTTTACTTTTCTTCTTCTTTGGTACAACTTTTAATGGAGCTTGAAGATCCCAGGTTCCCACTGGATGAAGGCATCATCTGTAAAATATAGTGTGTGAAAAGTAAATAATACCTTTATATCATAATAATATATTGTATTGCAATACGTAAGGCTATTATTGTCTTTTCATACAAGAGAAGGGCAAAATTGTCATTTTATATATTTTGGTCAACAAATCTGCAGAAATAAAACGTTACAGGTGTCATTGAGCACACACGCAAAATCTGAGGAGAGGTCAAAGTAATAAACGCTGAATAATCTATTTGTGTAATTTGCTCAAACCTCAATGAAGGTTAGTGTAATTTAACCATAAAATAACCATATTGAAAGATTCATTTGAATGAAAATAAGCTGTGCATATCTCACAAGCTTTTAGGTGACAAGTATTATGGCCAAATCTATATCAAAGTATAAAAGTACCTTCATGACATCAATAGTTCACCATAAATCACCTCCATATATACAAAGTACTAACCAAGAAGCAACATTAATTATATATTTGAATCTAGAAATTTTTTGATCGAGTGCACCAGCCTACCTCGTTGAAGATCGTAACATATCTGACACACTAAATTTTTATAAACAATTTTTTATAAATAGTTTGAACGTACCAATAATGTAGCATGCCTGACACACCCAATATTAAGTCAAGGATTTAGGGGGACAAAACAAAATCCGATCCTTGTCCTATTATTGATTAACTTTCACTTCAATAAGCACAGACTATGCTTCGGCTAATCTCCTGTTACAATTGAAATTGGTCGATCTTGATTATGTATCTACCAGGGTTAATTAAACTTTATGATGCATCCAAACGTTGTTAATAAAATTCACTACATTAGTCACTCAATATAATATTTTCTTAATTGTCACAAAGTAAAAAGTAAATAAAATTTGCTGGTATGGCCTAGAATATGGAAGCAACCGCCAACAAACCATGTGAATCATTTCTCTGCGCATCATTTCAATGAAATGAAATTAAGCATCACAGCGATTGTTGTATAAAACTGAAAAATGAATAGGGGGGTATAACCCCTAAAAAAAAAAACTAACAAAAAGCACAACTGGACTGATAACTTACTCCAAGTTGAATAAACGGTCAACCCTCGTAAAACCCTCTGAAAATGCCCGAACGGAGAAAGACCTCGACAATAGGACCTGTATTCGACCAATGTTGACCACGACTCCGACACAAACCGACAAAATCCACACCATTCCACCCACATACAACCGCTCCGGTGCACTTGACCAAGCTGAGTACACCAAGAACCCGGTGGTAAATGATGTGAGAAAATTGACATCATTCGAATGACACCATGTATCAAAACAAACGCATCCTCCTTTAAGTTGAGGAAACAGTCTTCTCGTCCTTGTTCTCTGAATCTGCTTTTACAGGCTCACCTTCAGATTCCTTATCTGCCTTGGATGCAACAGGCACCTCTTCACCCCTTTTGTCCTCTGATTTCTTATCCTCAACACTCAAATTCTCAAGAAGACCAGCAGCAGCAGCAGCAGCAGGCGATGCATCTTTAGCAGCAGCAGGCGATGCATCTTCAGCAGCAGCAGATGCATCTTCCTCTCTCTCCCGTTGGGATTCAACAACCTCTTGAAACTTTTCCTTAAAGGTTTTGCAAACTAAAAAGAAAAGAAAAGGGCGCATTAAATAAAAAATGATCAGGGACAAATTGGAAAAATAAAAATAAAAAATTGAAATACAAACAAATAAAAGTCACAACTTTTTTTATTTTTATGTTACTCTTCAGTCTTTAGGAATAAAATGCCATCAGATGTATAAACAAGTTTAGACGAACCATGACTCATAAAAATGACTTCTATAAGCCGCTTGAGCACAACAAAATGAATAAGTAATAAACTGTACATGAAATTTTAACAAGCAAAAATTTTAATTTAAGATACTGAATTTAGAATTGCATATCAGCTAAACTCTTGAAGAAGTTATTGGACAACACCATGACAAAAATATACTGTACCAGAATGATGGGCTGTCGAAATGGCAATCCAAGAATGCAAAATCTATGGGACTAAAACTAAGTCTCAATTCAGATCCTTTAATACAACACTCAACAATCACCAGTACGTGCATTAGCATCGTTACTTAATGTCCCCATAGCCCTTCAAACCTATCCCATCATTGGGCCATCAATCAAAAATGTGAACAACAACAATAACAAGAAAAACCATTAAAAAAAATATATATAATAGTTTACTTGAAAATTTTGAGAATACTCCACTCCGTGATTATCTGTATGTTATAAGACGTTCCCGACAAAGAGATCCAAGATCCAAGTCAAATTCTAAAGGAGGGTGCCAAAATGTCATTCAGATAAGTACTCCCACAAGGACAACAATGGATGTGTGTGAAAGGTTTGAACGTCCAGTCTTGTAGGGGAATTAGGGATAGTATTTCAGCCCACTATTTTTCTAATACATAATTAACCCAGTCATCGTCAATTTGAATACATAATTGGCATGACACGAGGAAATAATGGCTAGATTACCATAACTTTCCAATCCTAAATGTGCTTCGTTACCACCATCTATAAAGGTATTCATGTTTGCCAGGGTTTCTGTAATTCTAACTTATTTTTAATGAAGCAGTTCCAATGAGTTGGGCCCTTCACATTATGGATCTTAAAACTTGCACTATTCCTATGGCTTGAACCCAAGCCCCGATCTCTTGACAAGATAGCCATGTCCTATGTACAAAATTTAGCTACTACAATGACAAAAGGATCAAGAAAAAAAGAACAAAACAATGGGCACGTCTTTAAAGATAGCTTCAATGACCGGCAACAGCCATGAGAGCAATGAAATCTATCATTTTCATGTATGAAAGAAGCTACACATGACCACCATAACATCTACCATTTTGCCAGATAAGTGACATTGGATAAAATTTTTAAAAATGGTATTACTAAAGCACAATTAATTTTCTAATCACCAAATTTTTGTTTGTTATTCTGTAGGAAAAGGTGACGACATTAACACCATGAATTACCTCTACTCTGAAATTTAATTGTCAATCACATACAGCTTCTAGGTTTAAGAGAAACTATCTTACAAAAAGAATAGATTATGATGTCACAATATACTTGTCTCCAGAGTTCACAATATTCAAAAAACATTGACCATAATACATAGGGATAAGGATACCGCAATTGAAAAATGTAAGTGGGTTGGTGTGATATTGTCTTTTTTGATAAGTGGTGTAACTTGTCTTCCCCGATCAAATTAGGATAGGCTAAGCTAAGACCTACTATTATGAAAAAACAATTTATATGGATTTCATACAGAAAAGTCAGCCATCAAAGATACTTCTCAATGAGGCGATTGATAGAAATATATAGAAGGAAAAGGAAACTCATAGTAATAAGATATTTATTGACTTAAAGAAGTATGTGCTCTCTTTAGGTAAATTTATGAGATTAAGAGATAAGCAGTAATTAAT